GACCGGGTTGGCTGGTCTATTGGCAATGGTGGAAAGTTTTCTACTAGGTCTGCTTGTATGAAGATGGTGGAATGTACTCCCCCTTTGAAATCTTCTCTCATCCAAGCTATTTGTATGTTTGCCTCTCCAAGAAAGGTCAAGGTGTTCCTGTGGTCCTTAGCACACAGAAGCTTGAACACTCATGAGAAGCTTCAAAAGAAATGCAGCAATTGGGTGCTCTCCCCCTCTGTTTGTTGTTTATGTATGGCCAACACTGAATCAATAGATCATATCTTCATTCACTGTACGTTTGCGGCTCGAGGGTGGCTCTTTATCATGGATCTCTTCGGGTTGTCTTTTTGTTTCCCTAATCATATAGATGTTTGGTTGGCCGAGGCCCTGCATGGCTGGACTCTGCCTAAAAAAGCTAAGTTTTTGTGGAAATGTGCTTCGAGAGCTCTCCTTTGGCACCTTTGGTTGGAAAGGAACCTTCGGGTCTTCGAAGATAAGTCTTATTCTTTTGAGATTTTTTGTAGAAAAGTACAGCACACTGCCTCTTGGTGGTGCATCAACTATAGCAAATTCTTTTGTAACTACGACCTTTCCATGCTTATGTACAATTGGAAAGCGGTTGTTTAGTTCTTTTTGGTGGAGTTTCCTCTACCCAGCCCTTAGGTTGTTCCTTTTGTCTTAGTTTCGGAATATACAAGTTTCTTATCTAAAAAAAAAAGAATAGCTTTGATTCCTATAATGAATACAACAATACTTGCCTAACACTGGTTAGTAGGACTGTCGATGAGGTTTATTTTTAGTAGTTTAAAAATATTTGTGGGATCCACTTAACTATCAAATGTAATAGAAATAGACCCATACAAATAAACTACATAAATAAAAAAATGGAGCCCCCACTAGCTGGTGTGTGGACAAGTATTGTTTCGATGAATATAAGATTTTGCCGAGTTTATATAGTAAGAGAGATGGAAGATTAGTTATCTGATCAGCTAGATATCAGAATAGGACACGAGAAAACAAAATGATGTTTCTATGATAAGCACACAAATCTACATGTTTGAATATTTTATGGCTGCACAATTAAATCATTGAACGTATGTCGGATGAAATCAATTAACAGATCACAAAAAGTAAACCAGAAACAGGGAGATGAGAAACTATTGCAATAATCAAGAAAAGATAATAATTCATGCGACGACTCTTTCCTGCTGATGAGTAGACAGATCAAATGAGCAAATATTGGGAGACGATAATAGAAGCATTTGAAAATGCCAGAAAATTCTGAGGTTCTACATACCACAATGGAGTGAATAGCAGCAGGGATTTCTCGCTTCATTATATTCAAGAATCGGAGTGCTTTTTCCCAAGCTGGAGTATCCATGCTGCGTTCGGCAGGAGGAGATCCTTAGAAAAAGTGAATATTCCAGGATCAACATCCAATGTAAATATGTTCAGTAATTAATATAAAATTAAGTAATAAAGATTTGAAATAATTGATTATTAGCCTGAACTATATGTCAAGTGTACAGGGTAGTGGGCAATGAAAGTGCGTATTAGTGGGAGAATGTATTGAGCTCACAACTGTATAACGATCATGTACTTAAAAGATACTTCAGAGGTTGACCCATAGCTTATTAAAAGCAGAAAAAAAAAGACGCTTGAGCCAGCTAAATAATAGCTATTTAGTTAGTAATACAAAAACGAAAGTAAACCAACCTGATTTCTTCTGACTCAATATTAACTATATTTCCTGAAATAAGTTCATACTGGTAGCGGCACTTTGCACAAGATACAATCTGCAAAAGAAGCATTGTGGAAGGTATAAGGATAGCAGAGGGATGGGTGTGGTTCATTAGAAAAAAGTTGGGAAATAAAATATATGTATTTCTCAGAGATAAAACATTCTGGTTACTAAAACCACATGTCTCAAAGATAAAGCATTGGCATTTCTTTGTTCAAATATAAACCAGGAGCACTGGACAAGTGCTTGATTAGGTGCACAATGTCAACATGGAAACTATAGTGGCTTGTGATACTTCCATTGACAAAAGCCTCAAAATAAAAATCTACTGTACTTCCTAGTGGCAACTGGCATGAGAGGATGGGAGAGTTTGAAACTAATATAAATTTGTAATTGTAACACAGACGGTAAATAACTGCCCAATCATGAAAATAAACTTAGGAGAAGTTTTCTTCTGAATCATCTCAATCTTCTTATGGCATGAAGGTCCCATATCTTGATGGATATTGCACAAATATGCGGTGTTAAATGATGTAGAAAATACTTCACGATCACCAATAAATATGGAACTATAATACTATTTAAGTATATATATCAGTTATGGTCTATAAAATGCAGCATATCCACGCTTTATCTGAACATCTAAACGTAGTTTCCCAGGGAACTCGCAAATCTCTTCGTCAACCATACATTCTAGATAATGCGCCCTGATAAAATGCAAATCTCAAAAGCATTTGTGTGTCCGTACATACCTGAATACCGTGCTGGGGTTGTGCAACTGCAATTGCTACCATACAACAGGGACACTGTATTACCTTTCCAAATGGGACCTTCAAACAAAGTAAAACCATTCAGGAAGCCTATGTAACATTGTTTGATATTCATCAAAATGTAGTAATAAACAACAGCGTAAATGTCTGCCAACGAATGTGTTTATACATATCAAAAGAGATTAGTTTCTCACCTCCTCAGCAGGTGATACACCAACTCGGCAAATAATCTCAATCATCCTAAGAGCATCGGAAACCCTCAAGGACGCTGCAAGACCTTGAATCAGCAATGTGTATACATGGACATCTGGCCTTGACCATTTCCATCTCTCAACAGAGGAAGCATTCTGATTAACACCTTCCCATGCAGTAGCTATTTACAATGGCAAATCATTAAACAAATTAGCAGAAATCTCACTATTGATCCCGACCAATGTATGTAATCAATCTTATTCAGCTGTTATCCTAATTGCATACCCTTCCTGCATAGTTCCCTCATATAACAGGGACGCAATATCAGCTGCATAAGTATAGACGAAGAGTATAAAGCAAAGTAGCGTCAAGTTACATTAAGACTAAGAGCTCATTGTAAAAGACACCAAATCTAGAGATGAATGTCAATCGCCACAGTCCATTGTCTAGCTTAATTACTCGTTAGTTAAAAGAAACGACCTCATATTTTATCTAAACAGTTAAAAAATTACATAGATATCAAATAGAACTTCGCATGCGCAACAAACGTCACAAACACACACACCTTGATAGAAACTGGAGCGCATTGCGTAGAACACGGATAAGGCAAGCTCAGGATTGTTACGCTCAAGTGCAGCCGCGATAATCAAACGACAGTCCGAAACAGCCACAGTACCTCCACTTCTCCCGGACTTATCAGCAATCACCAGCAACGCCTCACCAGCATCCTTGGCACCCGAAACATCCCCGAGCAACTCTTCGTCGAGTAATTCCGAAACAGGATTCTCAGAAGCCGCAGCGCTGCCGCTGCCGCTGCCGCTGTTGCGGTCATTTGAAGAAGCTTTAACTGATCTGGACTTGGAGAAGGAAGTGAAAGCAAAGAGAGCTTGGGAACACAGAAGGAGAGGCATGAGAACGCTGCCATTGTTTGGAGAGGGGAGTGGTTCGATAAGTTTTGGAGGAGGAGAGAGAGGGAGACGAGTGAGAGTGATAGTGAGCCATGGCGAAGTCGAGCTCAGAATCATTCTTCAATGGAGGTTTAGCTTGAGGAGGGAGAAATGGAGGTCGTAAGATAAGAGAGCATAGAATTTCGTCAAATGCTCTCTCTCATCGGTTGTTTCTCTCTCTAGAGTCTGGAGAAGAGGTTTCTGGCGGATAAAGGATGAGGAATGAGAGGTCGTACACAGACGAGCATGGGGGGAATGGTTGCCTGCGGGCGGATGCATCGGAAGACAGAATGGAACTTAAATCACAGCCGTGCAAATTTTGTTTATTTTGCGAAAAAAAAGGATGGAGGTGCGGGGAATCGAACCCCGTGCCTCTCGCATGCGAAGCGAGCGCTCTACCATATGAGCTACACCCCCAATTCTTGACTCCAAACGTACCAAATGTTATCTTATTAATACATATTGGGAGATAAGCCGCGCTCTTTTTATTTACTTTATTTATTTATTTATTTTAGTGGTCATGTGAATCTTTCACCTCTTTAATAAAGTAAAATATTACCGCTCATGTAAATACAAGATGATGTCATAAGCAACAAGTATACGACTTCAGATTTATCTGATTTTTATGGAAATAGATACAAATCCAATAAAGTGCATTTCTTGACTATTGATCTGAAGCAGACATGAGGTTTTTTTCCCTTCTTTTTATACAAGCTGACATGAGTTAAGCTCACTAGATCATGACGGAACGAAGGACTAAATCTCTCATCCTCTTGTTAAACTCATTTTGATAAATTATTTTTGGGTAAAACACATTTTTGTAAGTTAAAATTGAGATTAGATTGCTATTTGATTTTTCAAAGTTTAATTCCTTTGGAAAATAGTTCTAAAAGTAATTCCTTTGGAAAATAGTTCTAAAAATATCCTAGAGTCAAAATTTCGTCAATGACACTAATTTCCTGACGGTAGACACAGCTTTGCCGTCGGTGACGGTTTCCCCAACACCGGAGGCACGAGGGTGATGGGAGGGATGACGGGCAGTTTTCCGATGATCGGGGCCTGGCCCTGGATGACTTGGAGCTGTGGCTGGGTCTGCTTCTTCCGCAAACGAGAAGAAGAAGTGTACTTTGAAGCCTACATTTTTCTTTCTTCTGAAATTCAAGTAGTTGGTAATAAAAAAAAGATCATACTGATTATGATTATGACATGATAAATTTTAGTTTAATAATGAATAGTGAGAAGTCGATGATAATTAGTTTAACTGCTTTATTGATTCATACTAGTTTAACCGCCCAAGGTAAAATTTGAAGATTGGTATAGATATACAAGCTAAATTATATACATATTTTGTAAATTCTTTGAGGAATAGATATCAATATCAGCTACTATAAAGACGATGGAAATTTGAACTATTATCAAATTATTCTAAAGCCTTTAAAATATGTAGTAGGCAGTAAAAAACCGCTTCGAATAGTTGCAACACACAAGTAAAAAAAGAGAGAAAAAACGAGAGCTCAATTACTTTGAACTGAAACAGACTAAGAAGAAACTTTACACAAACTGAAAAATACAAAACTATAGTACTTGGTCCATAATCATCATCAAGCTAGAAAATGCTAAAATGTAAAGGGTTTGGTTAAAGAAAAAATGACAGGTAACAACTACATTACTTTTTGTCCCCTATCAACTGGCTACTACTATTGGGCGCAACATCTACAATTCCCACACAAATTTCTCCATCCATTGCATGAAGTTTCTTCATGCGTAGTTGCCGAAGCGGCCTCTTCCCCATGGAGGTCTTTGCTGGCGACCGCCACCATTGCGTTGTGGAGCACCATTTCCATTTTGTCGCTGCGACAACACCCTCAACCTCTGCTCCTTCATGTTGGCAAACAACGAGTCAAGTGTTTGTGGCCTCTGTCTTGGCATTGTATTTGTCTGGGGCTGCGCCCGTGCTGCTATTGCTACCTGCAGACAGAACCACGGTGAAAACTCAGATTGGACAATTGAGATCGAGACTTCCATTCATCGTCTTCTTTGATGAATGACTTCTCCAGACTTGTGATCAGAATACAGGTACTAAAGAGCAGTTTCTCATTAGATAAAAAAAAGGCATGCAGATTAATTATATGAATATCTACTATGTGGGCAATAATAGTAATGTGTTAAATGCTAATAGAGTACTCGGAAACAGAGATAGAGATAGCTAATAGCTTCTTAAAAAATCTATTAAGGGTGGTGCGTTTAGGAGTGATTATAGAAGGATTAATTTCCAAAAAAAAAAAAAGTTTAATTGATTTTACAAAATCAACATCCAAGTGGTACCTTCAAAATCAATTTAAAATAATTTTAAACTATTCTAAAATATATTTTTTTATTTTAGATTTGCGAACCTAATTGCTAGAAAGAGGAGTAATTAGACACTAAATAGAGATGGCTTCTTTTCAGCACTAGAAAGAACTAATTGCTACTAAAGATGCGAGAAGATGTATTTAGACAACCTCAGTAAGAAATATAGTACCTTGGGAATAAAGGTTCCATTAGTAAAAGGCTTCCTCTGTACCGGTGGAGCATCAAACCTGTACCAAGAATTATTGAAATAATTGAACAGAAGAAATATCATTTTATATACAGAACCGCAAGGCAAAATAAGTACTATCCAGTTAGCATTCCACAAACACCAATAATTTTCATCATGTCTTCAGGATGCAGATAGATCAGAGTATCTTACCTCCGTGAGCAAATTCAACGGTACCCAATCAAAGAAATAAAATACAAACCAGATCAGGAGAACGCACGCATCAAAAAAAGTGAATCAGCTCAAAATGTGTTACGCTTGATTGGAATGCAAAACGCACTTTCCGGTAAAATAGCAAGACTTTCCTCAAATCAATGACCACATCCTTTGCTTGATATTAGTGCACAATGAAAAGCTCCAATTAGTTATTAAGCAATGAATAGAAAATCTACTCCAGGAAGATTACTGTCCCGAACTTGAACCAGAAAATGAAGGCTTCAACCAGGATACGATAGCTTAAAAGTGGCATCAGCATGCACTTCTGCTGTACAAGTGTATTCCACTGTGACTAAAACCCAGAATCTCCACACAATACCTCACAGAAGAAGCCGTAAATGCCATTGTTCAACACATTATACCAAACCATTCATACTTTCTTCAACACTTTTGTTATCACAGGATTAACAACAAAATTACCAGAAGTACAGTGTTCTTGTTTTACTTGCAACATGCAAAATTTCAATTCCACCACGGGGGAATCTAATTAAGAGGATGATGGCCAGGGTGACTCAAGAAAGATCAAAAAACATACTGTTCACAAGTGGAAATTTTTCAAGTCAAAGGTCTCGTCACTTGCAGATTTATAACTAGTCAATTAGTACTGGAGACTTGTCGACATGGTAGTTTGATGGCCGGTGACAGCAAATGGGAAAGGAAAGCCAAACCAGGGTCAAGGAAACTACCAGACCGATCAAATAGATACAAATAGGTGCAAATTCTGACACCATCACATTCCGCTTGGTTCTTTGCATGCAATTATTGAAAGCAGAAGTATATTTGTCAATTGTCATCCACCAGGAACGGAATATTAACGACGGCAGACTTTGAACATGGTGAAAAAGACTACTGTGGAATTGTCGTTTAAAGGATGATACCACAATCTTAATCCTCTGGTATAATTGAAACATCACACATCTTGCAAAGCAGCTTCCACATCCTTACAAAAGATAACTGGTCGAGGCTGCTCTAATCTTATGAATCGTCTATGAAGAATCGAGTTAATCCAAAGACAATAAACACATTTAATAAGGGCGCAAACACTCAAAACTATACACACTCATCCAATGTACACAAAAGCTTTCTTTACCACCAAATTTTTCCCGATTGTTGCAGCAGTCAAATTCATTCAAATTTCCAAATTATCTTTGTCCCACCTTCTGCCGACTCCCATCAATCACTTATCAGAAAACCAAAATATAACCCAACACATTCCGAAACCAAACTTAAGAAGATAAAGCAGAATCAATCCCAGGCAGCATGGAAGAAATGAAATAATTTGAAATACCCCCCACTTCAATTCAACTGGTTGAAGCATAAATTTATCACAGTTGTTCCAAACCAACACATAATGTCGCTAACTTCATATAGTTAAACTTGATGGGTATTGTAGAAGTCATCAATTTTGTATAAACGTGATTTACCTGTCATAACATCAAAATATCAAATCAAACCAACAAGCTATCAGATTTCAAATGTTCTTCTTCTGGATTTCTTCTTCTATTTATTTCAGATTCAGTAAGTTGCCAGGATTGTTGAAGTAAAACATATAATCCTCATTCACAATGAAAGCTTTCTGTAGGCCAAAAAGTACACCCAATACCTTGTCTTACTCCAATTTGGTGCCCTCCGATTAAAACCTCTAGGGCGAATTGGAGCAACTGCAGCCTTTCTTGCAACCTCTGCTGCCAAAGGAAACTGATTCCCTTGAAAATTTGACCTTTTTTTGGCCAAAGCCCCCTAAAAAATAAATGAAAATTTAGAAACAACCATACAAAATAACCAAAAGAAATGATATGCAAGCTAAATAATTGAATAAACCTGTCTTAGAGAAGATCTTGAGTCCATAAATCGCTGCAACTTCCTAGGTCTATCCTGAGTAGCATTATTTGGAAATTTCTGCGTTTTGTTCTGCATGTGAAAATATAAACCATTATTATAATAAAAAGGAAACTAAAAATTTCCAAAATAAATTACTCAGGTAAAACATATTCTTACCGGAAGCCGTCTTTGCTTTCTAGTTTTGTTTCCAGTATTTTTGGACATTTTGATAATGTCGTCTAAATTAACAAAAAGACAGAAAAATTATAATCAATAAATTATCAGGAGGCACGTAAACTCAGAAGTACTAACGCAAAAATTTCAGAACCAACCTAAAGCCATGTCCATCTTCTTCTCGGTTATGGCAATTGCCTCAGTAGTAAGTGGCTTAGCCGCCATCTATAACAGAAGATTAAAAACCAGAGTTAATGGTGAACTGAGGAAAGAAACCATTTGAAGAAATTTGCAAGTAGATCAATATAACCAAATCGTCGACAGAAAGAACAGGTAACAAGGTTGCTCAAAGAAGCTATAAGAGTTCAGAGAGAACAAAAACAAACAGCACATACCAAATCTTGTTCCGAAAGAAGAAAGAAAAAAATAAAAGTCTACGCAAGGTCTCAAGAGATAATCCAGGCTTTCGTATCAACTTCAGAAATAGAAAATTGGTAACTAGTACAATAAACTTTCAAGGTTTCAAGAAAATCGAAGAAACCACGCTCTGGTGTCATCTAATTACGAAAACAGCAAATCCATCCGAACACACGCCTTTAACGACAAAACCCTAACAGAACCAACCAAGAAAACTCCTCGCACTCAACATAACAAATAAAAGCATAACATGAGGGACAGTAATCTACTCCGCCTCCCCGAAAACACCAAACAACATCCATAACCGACTCCTCAAAATCCAAAACAAAGATCTAGGGTTTCAATCGTCAAAACAGAGATCTACACAGAACAGGAAGAACTCACCTCTTGACGAGAAGATAATTCGTCGCTCGAGAAAACGATCGGAGAAAGATCACGAAGAAAATTAGGGCAGAAATCTTCCGAAGATCCTGAACGGAACAATTCCAGAGGTTCGCGGGAGAGTTGATTCCTCACCGCCGAAGGAAAAGGAGACGCGGGGTGAAAAAAATAGGGCAAAGCAAGGTAATATATAGGGTGGAAGGAACGACGTCGTTGCGAAGATACTTCACGTAGAAAAATATTTAAGGAGGTTTGATTAGGATTTGGAGTCCGCATTAGCTGGAGGAACCGAAGATATTGCTTGTCCCTGTGAGCGGCCCGGAGTTTACGTACGGGGTAGATGACAGCTCAGCATTTTGAAAGCAACCACTCAAATTGTGACAAGTCATCGGATCTTGGTTAGCCTTAGCCTTGGCAAATTCACCTGTGTGGAGCGACCAATTTTCCCCTATGAAGAACTTTATCCTACCATCATTTATGTTGAGATGTAGCAATTTTCGTAGCTTTATTTTTTTTTACCCAAAGGTACTTTATTGAAAACTACATAGTGTAAGATGGGTATTAAGGAAACACAAAGCCTATGTGGTAATCTCTACAAACCAATCAAAAAGGTCAGTGAGCCGAAACAAGTTAAGCTTTCAATTAAATGCATAAGAAGTAGTTTTGTGGGTTGCCTGATTTGAAGACTTTTAAGTATTGGTTACAAACAAATGACGTAATCGAGTCAAGACATTACTTTTAGTTATTGTACCTCGATCTTTGTTGTATCTTTAAAAATATTTTTTTGAAAAATACATATATTTTTATAATAGAAGTTATAAAAGTAATTTCTAAGAAAATAATTATAAGTACATGTAATTTAAAGGAAAGTACTCTTATGGTCTATATGTTTTCAACCATAGGTTTGTTTAGTCTCTGTGTTTTTTAAATTGTACATTTATGCCCCCTACTTTCCTAAAATAGGTTTAAACAGTTAATCTACCTACAAAAAAGTCTCTAACAAAAACATGATTGAATTGATGTACAATATGAGTTACACAAGATCGTCGCTTTAGGATGGTCATATACAACTTGATTGGATAGATAAATATCGCGATCCTAAAACAACATCATTGTATCTTTTCATCTCACTACATTACATCGAGCGATATTTTATTCTAATAACACCATGATAGAGTGTAGGATCGCAATATTATTCTTCTAGTAATGCATCACAATGTTCATCCTCATATCATGTTATGTGTTGAACAATGCGATATGAAATCTATCACAGTAATGGTTGTCTAATAACCTTATGGATCTATATACACTAAAATAATCTATTTCCACAACTTTGTTCCGTTATTTCTTATTTGAACCAATTCATGCTCATGACTCATGCATAAGTTGCCAAAAGTAGTTTTTTGTTTAGGCGAAAAATGTTCAAAAATAATATTGAAAAAAAAAACAACCACTTTCAACTTTAAAGCTTAATCATCTTTTGATTAGAGAATTAACATAAATCTATTAGTGGGGGACCCTTTAAACATATTCTATAAAAATCCACTGTTGATGTATACTCCTATAATTCATTAAAATTCGTTAACCACTCTATTGATTCTAATTATGCATCGCAATTATTAAATACAATAAACAAATACGTACTCGATCAATTAAACTCTTTAATCTTAAATTGGATAGATTAACCAAATGAATTCACATCTTTCACCAAATGTCATATAAGCAAACATATTAAACTGGAGTTCCTAACCTGACTATTTTTAAGACATAGATCTACGTATTTCTACATCATACATGTTTCATTTTGGTAGGTTTTCTTTTATAGATATATCAATTTAGTCCATGACCTAATTGTCCATTAAATATTAACAAAAATCTGACATAGACACTTAGAAACATCCTAGCAAGACAAATAAAAGTTGTAAAGAGAGTAAAATGGACAAAACTTCCATCATGAAGATTATGGAATAAGCTCCTCCTGAATTCCTGCCTGATTTAGTAGTATATAGACACAATGTAGGATTTTAGGAGGAAGCTCGTCCTGAATCTTCATGAGGGAAGTTTTTTCCGACAAAAATATGAGAAGAACTTCGAAATAGAAATTATTGTAAAATGCTACTAATATAAGAATATATATATATATAAAGGGACATTGAATGATAAGGTTCTAATAATGAAGAATTAGAAAATTGCTTATTTCAGTAACTAAGTTCTACCAACTGTTCGTGTGTTTGTAGTAAATACTCTCAAAAATTGTTTGCTTGTAGCACATCAATGGGCCACGGCCTCGGCTCAGCACATATTTTATTCGCATAATTATGAAAATACCCGCTGCTCTTCACGGGTACTGCTGCCTAGCTCGAGTAAAATCCAGAAAGAAAAAGGGGAAAAAAAAACAAAAGGGAAAGGAAAACTCATCAGTCATCTCCGTAAATCCATTTCTCTGCATTGCTTGTGTAACTAACCAATTCCTCTGGTTTGAACCACAACTTGATCTCATCTTTGGCAGTCTCTGGTCCATCGCTTCCATGGATGATGTTCCTGTACATTTAATCAAAGCAGAATAAGGTCATTAAATAGTTGTTATCATTTAATTTTAGTTCCTCTACGAGTGAACTTAGATGCTCAGATGACAAATAGTAGTTTTCTAATCAAATGAATTATAACTGTTCATGTTATGATGATTGATGTCTAAAATTATCTGAACAAAATCAGAATATTATGAATTACTATTTATGTAGTTAAATATTTGAAATGAGACTCCCATGAATGCTGAAATGCACGGGAGTGACAATCTTGACTCTTAAAGCAACATCACGTCTTCTAATATCTAGATTTTGAGATATTTACAATGGAGAAATGAACTATCTCTATCAGAAAGTGGGGAAGTTGGCTGAGAGAGTGATTCTCATGTTCTGTTTCTTTTCCTACAAGTGATGACCGATAAGCATTATATTCAATTAGTAAGACATTACCTGCCAACTACGACAGCTAGATCCCCTCTAATGGTTCCAGGCTCAGATTTCTGTGGATCCGTTGCTCCAATAAGCTTTCGGCCATATCTGATCACTCCCTCTCCTTCCCAAACCTGCACATTTGAAGAATCATGGGGTTCATCCGAGCTCAAAAGTAGTTACAATAAAAGAGAGAGATTTCTGGTTCTGACTAACCATTGCAATAACGGGGCCAGAGCTAAGGAAGTCACAGAGGCCATTAAAGAAGGGTCTTTCTTTCAGATCATGATAATGCTTCTGGGCAAACTCCTTTGAAGGAACAATAACTTTAATGCCTACCAGTTTAAACCCTTTCCTCTCAAAACGAGATATGATTTCTGCAATCTGTTTCAGAGTAAGAGTATTGAATCAGATGAATATTTGAACACCCTTCCCAATCAGGAAAAAACTAACAAACAGTACAGAGTAAAACAACTATTATTATTTTAAGTTATACGCTTATGTGGGATTGGGATAGATCATAGAGGAATAATAGAAAGCTTGTAAACCTCTACCAAGTGTTCTAAAGCAGAGCTGTCAAATATCAAATCAGAATTGGCGCTAAGAAAAATGTTGCAAGGGTACGGTATAATCTTACCAGCCCTCTCTGCACACCATCAGGCTTTATGGCTATAAACGTGCGCTCGAACTGAGAGAAGTTATGAGAAAGTACGTAAGTAATAATGATCACTGGCTATTCGGTAAGGATAAGGAAAACGACAACGAAAAATCTAAGTTTATCATATATTACCTCTGCAGCATGGGCTTCCTGCTCCTGGAGCATGTAAGCTACATCAAAAGAAAAGAAAATTAAGTGCAAGTTAGGACGGTGAACCGAAACAATGGGAGAGGACGAAATCTCATTCTAATTTTAACTTTTTGTTAATGACATTTTATATATGCTATATAGATGATCAGTAGTCTACATAATATTTCGTTGATTGATTCTAATACAACCACCAAATATGGAGTCGTGTAAGAGTTCTAAAAACAACTAAAATCAAGATTCCAAAGTTTTAAAAATTAAAAGGAAAAAAGATAAACAAAAGGATGATTCGAAGGTGGAAATGTTTAAATCGTGGGTTAGTTAACAAATAACAGCGCCAGAAGTTCTAAGAAAGCAGGGCAGTGAAATTGGAACAGCAGAAAGTATGCCTCGATTCTAGGACTCTGCGTACGCATCATCCATGGATGTGACCAGACGCTGGAGAGGGGTTAACTTGAAATTGGTTAAGCATTCAACCTCGATTACAAGCCGAACGTATAACTAAACACTACGCGGACGCTATGAATTCATAGGGAAGAAATACCGGAGGCCACAACATCATAGTCAAGCCGGAAATTCTAATTCTACCTCAGCGAATGGAAGAAATTTTAGAGCATTTTTCCCAGAAACAATGACGAGTGTATTATAAGAGTTTTGTCGACTGAACCTGCTGCAGGGAGAGCAAACAGTCCAGAAATCCATCCTCTAGATGCGTATCCAGAACCGGCATTCTCATAAACTGAAGCTAAAGAAGGCAACCTTTCTCTCAGCGATACTGCTGCTGCGGAAGCCACGGCTCTTCCTCCTGCCATAGAAACAACATAAACCGGTAAGGATAGTTCTCATTTCGATAAACCGGAGTAATTCACTGCCAGTCTTCAATCCATGCGAATATACAAAACTGACATCGAAATACAAGGCTACAATCTCTCATTTCAATTCTTCAAAGTCTTTCATTCACTCACAATCACTGTTGTCCATATATCGCACAGACATATACAAAACCGCCATTGAAAAACGAAGTAAATCGCACTTTTTAATAAAGAAATTGCCACAGAAAATCAATAAAGCCATAAAACAGTCACAAACAGAGATTCATCCATTTCAGCTTGAATAATTGCCTAAACGAACAAACAGATCCCGCGTCAAAGCAACCTAACGAACAATTGCCTAAACGAACAACCGATGTAATACGAAGCTAAAATCTCTCACTACAATTATTCGGAGTCATTCATCCACAATTCACACTGTCTACATAGCACACAGTGATAACCAAAAAACCAACATTGAACTACAAAACAAATCACGCTTCCTAAGAGACAAATTGACAAAGAAAAACCGATAAACAGTCACGAAACTGAGATTCATCCATGTCAGATTGGATATTTGCCTAACGAACAGGAACAAACAAATGCCGCATCAGAACAATCTAGCTTCAAAATTCAAGAAACTACCAGTAAAAAAAAAATATATATATATATTATACCGCAGCCTTACGATCGAGCAATACAATAACCAGAACCGAGATGCACAGGATCAGAATAATCAAAAAGCGCAAAAGCAGAAGCAACGGAGTAGAGATGATATTAATTACCATTGGAATAAGAGCGAGAGCTCCTGGAAGCAGCGAGGATGGACCTGGAGGCTCTGGAAGCAGATCTGCAGATCTTGGAACTCATTCTCAACAGCTGAACCGGAAAATTTCAGCGGAGAGAGAGTGGAGTGAGAAGGCTGAAGAGAGAGAGAGAGAGAGAGAGAGAGGTTTATATGAAACAGAGGGATGGGTTGTTGAGTTCGTGTGGTTGGTTAGGTTAAAAAGGTAAACGAAAACCGTTAGGGAGGGACGCGAATACCAATGCGATGCGTTTCCGTCACCGTCTCTGACTGAACTGCCGTTTGGCAATTCAATTTCATGAACTTCCGCTAATCCGCTCATTTAATYTTCGTTTAATTAATAAAACCCATCCCAGGGAGAGTATTAAATTTTTGTCAAAAATGTCAGACATTTTTTTTTTGTGTACTCGACATTTTCGTAGTATTATAAAAAAATTTAATATCATCGATATAAACATAATCTCAATATTAATAATTTTTAACTTATTTAAAAATAGTGTCGTATACCTTCAACCAACCAAGTGGTTGTGAGTTCGAATCCCCCAACATATTGTATTAAAAAAAAAACTTATTTAGAAATAGTGAAATCGTTGTTAATGCAAAAATATTTTTTTATGAATTTTTATTTTTATAACATTTCAAATATCCATCACTACTCCACTAAAAAAAGTATATTTTTAAAAAATTAAAACCTTTTTAAAAAATTTTAAAAATATATATATCGGAGACGAGTTCCCCACGAGGAAATCATTCTCGATCACGGAATCTTCGCCCCCTCCTTGCCCCCAAAATTTCAAAGACGATGACAACTTCAACATTTTATAGATATTTTCATGAAATTGATACCTTGACAATTAAAACTAGCTTGATCCTATTAATATTATCGTTTTTATCATCTTTTGATTCTTTAAATTTTAAATTATTTTATTTCAATTTTGTAAATGACATAAAGACTTATATTTAATCTAATTTTTATAAGTACTTGGGGATGAAACTCATGATTTGATTTGCTAGCTTGAATGCTTAGATTAGATTGATAAGAGAAAATGAAGAAAATACTATCGAAAYTGATTAGAGGAGTATTTTAAAGTTCATTMTGGCTTTTATTCCAAAGTGGGAAGGAAAAGATATATAAAGGTAGGACATCCATCACAGCTACAATGACTCAGTTGAGACCTTTTTTTATTTGATTCAAGAGGTGATCAACCGCCGCCTTTGACCTTAAAATAGAAATACAGAACTGTACTTATTAATTGCTGTCATAATTTTAATATACACTAAAATGAGATCAAAATTCTAGGATGTTATCATGTGTCAGTGTATATGAAGTGTAACTTTATTTTGAGTATTTTGATTTTTTTGAAGTATGAGCACCGCACAACTTAATTAGTTAAAGTGGTTAGGTATTTGATTTCAAATCGGATTTAAATTTGCATTGAATAATTTAAAATAAAAAATAAAAAATTTCCCACCCACTACCTTACATCAAAAGAGTTATGTTCGCATTTTTACATAAAATAGTATTCTTTTTCCTTTTCCTTTATTCCAACTTTTTTTTCTCTTCATTTTCTTTTTAGATCTTATGGTAACATGAAGATTTCCAAAGGTGGGTTGCTCAAGTACCAAAGAGACAGCAAGAAAGAATCTCTTTTCTATTAACTTTTATCCACTCACTTTCTTTGTTTGCTTCCATTCACTTTTTCCCTAAGATTCTTTAATATTGTTTCCTTCCTTTTGGCCTATTTTTATATAATGAAGGGAAAAGAAATATGGAATGAAAGATGGGAACACGTGGATTTTAATTTGGGCAATTTTGTACCTTTTAATTTTACTAAACATTTTTTTTAGAAATATCGAGTTACATAAAAATGGGAGAGGTGAGTATTTGAACTTCTGAACTCAAGAGTAAAAATTATGGGTGTTACTTTTCTATGCATGGACTAAATTCTAYGTAGACTTGGTCTAAAATGATGCGAGAAATCCTCTTTAAGCATCCACAAGCAGGGATGAGATAAATGTTTCCAGTAGTAACTGAAGCATAAATGGAGACAGAGAAATTAGAATATGTTATCATCCCACCCTACTACTATTATTATTATTATGTTTAAAAAAYTTCTAAACATAAATATTTATATGTACAATTTATAAGACATTGTTGCCTTTTGAGACTTAATGCCTTGATAATTTAAATTTTATAATTTTTTATGTTTTATAAATCATAAGATATTCTTAAGAAATCAAGAATGTTATCTTTTTAAATTGAGATTTGCTATGAAAATTTAACCATTTAAATAGAAATTATGCCGAAAATTAACATTTAAATAAATACCTAACGTAACATGGTTATGAAAATATTTGGGTCAATTAGTTTGGATTATTTAGGTTATATATTCAAATTAAATTTTTGTTTAAAAAATAGTAAAGTGTTAGTTTCTTGAACATCTTTACTTTTTTCAAAAAAGTTTAGATTAAATAACTCCGTGACAACTTATATAATAAAAATCATACTAAAAAAGACTTAAGGAGCCGTTTGTTTTTTTGGGAATGTAGATGTCCGACATCTTCAGATGTCTGGAATCTCATATGCCCGGAATTTTAGATGACCGGAATTTTAAATAGCCACGTTTSTTTTGTAGAAAAATTTATAAACATATATGGGAATATTTTGATAACCATGTTTGTTTCGTACRATTTATTCGTGRGAATATTCTAAAGTTATGTAATGTTACAAAAATGCCCTTACCGATCATCATACAATTTATATGTTAAATTTAATGTTATTTGAATTCATATAAAAATTGTACTTTTATTAATTTAATGTTATATTTTTATGTCAATTTTAGTTTATGTTTGGTGACTATAGGAAGAATAAAATAAATGAAAGATTACACCCTATATTTGAATTACAAACAAATTAAGATATTATACATTGACTAATGTTTAGTTTATATTTAAATGTAGCATATAAATAAAATTGTATTTGGACATTTATCAATGAATTAGTGCATACATTTATTTTTAAAATAAAATAAAATAAATGAGAAATAAATATTATTGATGAAAAAATATTATAGAACAAAAATAATGAGGGACAAAATTGTCAAAAGAAGATGTCYTCAACACGATAGTCTTAGAAACCCATGTTGCAGGAGGACATCTACTCATCTAAAATTGCTCAGATGCCTCCCGTATAGGCATACTATGATRCACGGACATCTAAGAATATYTGGGTATCCAACATTCCTATCAAATAAACACGGACATCTGGATAATCATCCCACATGAAACAAAGGCCCCTAAAAGAAATCAAATTTTATTTTTTATAAAATTGTTAGTGACATGGAATAACATTGAATTAAAATAAATAGAAACATATTTAATTTTATCATAATTCATAAGTAAAAAGAGAGATTTTAATTACTAAACTTGGTTCAAAGCAAATTAAATTTTAATTTCAGTGAGCCCCTTAACTAAAAATCTACCTTCCATTTATTTGAAAACAAATAAAGTCAAAAGTTATAACCCACCCAAGCCCACATGCACATATTTATTTTTTGATTTGCAAAATTCTTTTAAAAATCTTTAACTAATATATGTCAATATGAGTTTAGCTCAACGATAATTGATATATCTTTGATGTCATAAGTTGGAATCCTTTCTTATTTATTGTACTAAAAAAAATAAAAAAATAAAAAATATTTTACTTCAAGTATCTCCACAATAGTATGATATTGTCTACTCTAGACATAGTGTTCACGACTTTATTTTTGGTCTCACTCAAAAGACCTCTTACTAATTAAGATAATTATCATTTATTCTGATTAAATCAATGTTAGATTTTGTTTGTACTCCTTTCAAACTCAACAGTAACTTATTTCAATAATTTCTTCGAGGAATAAACAAGATTGTTGAGGAAGATAAAGTTTTAACTTAGCCCATCATTTTGAAGTTAATTTAAAGCTTTCGCTGTTTTAGCCAAAATTTTGATTTTCATCAATATCTTTCTCATTTTGTCAACTTCAACATCTTGAGCAAATCGAGGCACCACTAGGAGATCGACAAGTGTTACTTAAATTGTCTGATCATATTCCACATATGTTTGCTTGTCAATGTGATTCTTGAGAATGGGGCATCTGGTTGGCCAAGAGAATTTTGGGGGTAGCAATGTCTTTTTAGCCACACATTCACTTGTTCATAGATATCATATTCATATCACACTCCAATGAAATCTAAGCCACATATTAACTATCCTGTCTTATAAAATTTAGTTATTGTACCCAGTTTCATCTTTATCCTCATTTTTGTTAACTTAGCCTATAAAGTCATAAAATTAGAAATATTATATGTCATTCACCTTAAAATTGAAAAAATAAAGAGATTAGAGCATTTCATAGTTAAAGAAATCGAATCAACGAGTAATTTGGTAAGGTTTAATGCTTTGATTTTTGTGCAAAAACGAAGGCCAACAAAATAAAGTGGCTAGAGAGGGGAGTAAATTCCCCCTCGTGGCAAATTAGTACCTCCCACTCCCTCTTTTTTATTTCCAAATCCTTAGAAAAATAATTAAAAAAAATAACACGGTAGGTAGAGATTAAAATTTTACGAAAATAAAAAAACACGTCTTGAAACTTATCCCGACTTTGAAGTTTGAGTTACCCAACATCTAACACGTGACGATTAGTTATCAATTAGGGACGAGTAGAGATTGAAAACTGAAATGTCACCTCTTCTACTGTCATTCAATTAAAATATTATTCAATATTTGTTCTAATTTTACTTGGGTTTAATTTCATACAGAGTTTAGTGATTCGAATTACGTGCAAGATAGGTAGAAATATCAAAAGAGAAAAAAAAAATATCCGTGGCTATCAAAATTCGAAATCATCCCAAAAATCATTAAAAAACGAGATATTTTTATTATTCCTCATTTAAAAGGAGGATGAAATGAAGCAAAAGGCTTCAAACATTTATTGGTGAAGAAGAAGATAATAGAAAATACCAAACCAAAGAAAGCCAGTTGAAGTGGGTAATGCTACAGTGACAGTCACAGACTCACCGCAAGCAGAAGCAGAAGCCATAGCCATAGCCATGGCGTCCTCCATCTCCCTCCCCACTCCGCATCTCAAATCCACCTTCCTCGGCCAAAACCGCCGCCGCTTCCTTCCCCACCGCCGATTCCCCCTTCCCCAGCGAGCCTCATCGAGCCATCGCGTTTTCCGGCCCGCCGCCGAGTTCGATTTGGGTCAGCTTCTCGGCGGGAGAGGCCTCTGCAATGGCGAGCGAGGTCTGAGAGAGGAGCTGAAGAGAGACGTTGCGGAGATTCCGGCGGAAATAGGGGGTGAAATTCCTGAAATCCCCGAGAAATCGGCCGCCGCTGGGGTTTCGGAAGATGGATTCGAGAAGGAATTGATGGGCCTAACCGGCGGATTTCCCGGCGGAGAGAAGGGATTGCGGAAATTCATATCGGAAAATCCTCCTCCTCCTCCGACTCCGAAAGCGAAACCGCCCGCTTCAAATTCCGGCGAAATCGGTGCGATTATGAGTTCGCAGAAGCCGAAGCCGCCGGATCTGCCGCTGCTGCTGCCGGGAATGATCGCGATTGTGAAGAATCCGAACAATCCGTACTACATGTACTGCGGAATTGTTCAGAGAATCACAGATGGAAAGGCAGGGGTTCTTTTCGAAGGGGGAAATTGGGATCGATTGATCACGTTCAGGCTGGATGAACTCGAACGAAGAGAAAAAGGACCTCCAATGAAGAACCCTAGATCGGCTGTTCTAGAACCGCTTCTTCAAAAGGATTCTCAATGAATTCCGATCGGTGGTGCTGAATTTTCTCTGCAGTTTTCTGTTTGTTTCCCGGCTCGGAAAAGAAAATGTGTGAATATTCATTCCCAATCTCAGAATTAAACAGGTTGATTTTTATGATTCGTGTTGCTTTAAAGTTTAACGAGTGATTTATTAGAGATAGAATTGATCAAATGATAGAACATGGAGTGTGAGAAATCAAGTTCTTAAATTTTAGTTTAGCCCAAGAATGTTAAGAAAACAAATTGAAATTGACCCGATTGAAAAGAATTTGATTGATTGAAATTTGTATATTTATTAATGTTATGAAACTGAATCAATGGTCAAACTAATTGAATCAACTAAATTCATTCAATCATACAGAAAATGAGTTTTGGAAGCTGGAGACCGATGATGCAGTTTTTAATGGGCAGAAATGAAATGGTAGAATGTTATTAATAAAATATAGTTATTTATTAAAATTTAAATATGTTTGAAAATCAATTAATCTTCTAGAAAAAAATCAATTAATTATTCTAGATCAAATTTTGTTCTTTTTAATTTGGTGATTTTATGAAATGGGGGAGAAAGACTACAACGTTGTTACTTGTTAGGCATTTGAAAATCAATTTTTTTTCCCGCAAAGGAAAAAATAACTTTTCGTAAGAGCTCAAGGAGCGAGAGAAAAACTTCAGTTCCGCTTTAAAAAAAATCCTCAACGAGAAATAAATACAAGAAAATAACTTATAAAATAAATAAATAAAAAATAAAAAAATAATGTGTAAGACAATAAGTTAAGTTGATTGTAGCAATTTGTAACACTTCTTCTGTCTGGAATGCCTAATTCTAATAAATTTTTTCTGGCCAAAATCATGACATAAAATCAGTTAAAAACTCCGCCATTATCCAATGCAAATCAAAACGACTTATTATATTTTATTTGGTGATAGCGTTAGAGTTTGAGAAACAAAGATTTTTTGGTACATTTGTTTATAGACTTTACTCTTCGTAAACCTTATCTGGTAAAGCAAAGAAAAACAAGATTGTGCCACATATTTTGTGAATGAGGCCTCTCCTTCCATTTACAAAAGGAAGTTCTCAAGTCTCGAACCATTTGAATTGTCTATTTGATGATCTCTTTGATTTTCTAAGATTTATGGAAGACTAATGATGTACGAGATTCTCGACAATGCGCCCATGAATTATAATGGTGTTAGAACATCAAGACCTCTCAATTGTGGAGTTAGCTCGACTGGACCACCTCGACCTCAAGACATTGGTGGTCAACTCAGTTTGGCCACCTTGAACTCTTGTCTTTGATGGTATGCCCTGCAGTTAAGCTAAAGAAGCTGGTCAACTAGATATAACAATATTTATTTCGCTTTTGTTTATGAACTTCCAAATGTTCTATTTTTATTCCTCGACTTCCAACTATATTATTTTAGTGTAGCCTTTAATTTAGAATTAAAATTTATTTGAGTTCTAACTCTTGACAAGAAATGTGAATTATTTTTTTCTTTAAACCTGGCGGCAAAAATATTAAATAGTGTAGTCTACACACAGAATTATATTTATCTCAACGAATATCTACTTCCCAAGGGGGATTTTCAGAAGTCTACGACTTGATTAACCCCAAGAAAAATATAAACATGTGGAACGAGTCATTCCAGCTAGTTTGAATATTCCAAGTGTCAAGTTATATGAAATTTGTTAATATTTTGGGACTGAAATTGATAATTCGAAAGTTCAAAATTAAAGTGTAATAATATTGAAAATTCAAGTTTGTTTGGTAATGTCGTTTCCGTTTCTTGTTTTCCGTTTCTAATTTTATTAAGAAATTTAGGTATTTATATTTCTTGTTTCTCATTTCATATAGATATTCTCAAAATTGTATAAAACTTGTGGAAACCATAAAAATAAACTTTTTGTTTTTTGTTCACATTTCTAATTATTCCAACATAAGTAAAAATGTTGTTTTATTATTGTTGAGTCTATGAGTGTTGGAGGTAGTGTAATTCTATTTTTCTTTATTAAAAATTAAGAAACAGAAACAAAAAATAAAAGCATTATCAATTGGTCTTTCRGGATCAAAACTTTCCAAGTAATTATTTTTATCATATTCTAAAAAAATCGACGAGATATTAAAATCTCATTAATGTACTACATAATATCAATAACAACAATTATTAAAATCTCATCTATGCACGTCAAAATTTTCAAATCATTTTCGTTTACATTTTTCAACATTTTTATTGACATCAGCATTTGAAACATTAATTCTCCGTTTATCGTGGATTGACCTGGGTGTGGAAAGAATGGAAAGGGCATCAAATTGGAGGTCTCGAACGACATGTCGGATTGAAGTTCTAAATTTAGTTGTCTGACTGATTTGAAATTAGACTAATTTTCAAACGAAAACGTGTAGTTGTGGAATTATGTTAATGCTTCTGTTCAACGTCATCCATTTTCTAACCCAAAATAATAATAATAATAATAATAATCATCATCACAGATTAACAATCAACTTCAACCATGTCCTTTTTCAAGACTCAGTCTCATCTCATGTTTTTCCTTTTTCCTACTAATTTTACTTTTTCAATCCCTAATTCTTTAACATATGTCCTTTTCAAATTAAAAAAAAAAAAAAAAGAGTTAAGCTTAATCTGAAACGATTATATTTTTAGTCTTTCATTTTTTGGAATTATGTTTAATTCCTCCTAATTTTCCTTAGTGTATTCTTCACGTTATTTACCAACATATTTAGATTATTAACCAATTTTCAAAACAAAAATAAAATTTAAAAAGCTATTCGCTCTTGTGTCTGTCTTTCTTTCTTTCCTTTTTTTTTTTAATTGTGTTTGTTTCCTCACCATCTTTGTTGGTATGAATTTTATTTAAAAAAAATATACTTGATTTCCTAGCCGTTTTGAAATTTAAAAAAGCTTTTAAAATCCAAATCTTTTTTCTTTTTGTTGTTGAAATGTGGTTTAAATTTTGAAGTAAGTAAATAACAAAAAAAGAAAAAACATATAGATAGGACTCAGGAATAGTATTTATAAGTTTAATTTTCAAAATACAAAATGGTTATGTTTTTTTGTTCTTTTCAGGATTTGGTTTAGGTTATCTCTAATTTGCCATAAATTAAAAATTAATTATTATAAAGAAAGAAAAGAGAATTTCAATGTTTTCGTTAAATTTTCTTTCTCCTGTTATAATGTAAAATGTTGTAAAATTTTCTTGTCCTCTAGTCATTTTATCTCTTTTTCTCTTCAAATTTTTTGGTAACTCTTTTTCTTTTCCCAATGAGTGTGTATTTTCCTTAACAAAATTGTACTACAACTTGGAAATATTGTGAGGTTTTTATGGTCAAATTATTTATTTTTTCTCCAATCATGTGTCATTGAACGGTAAAAAAAAAAAAAAAAAAGAGTGACTTTCATGGTTGAATCTTTTTCTTCCCTCTTTCTCCGTTGAATTTTCAACTTCGTGATATTTTACAATACTAAAGTAAAAGAAGTGTTATCCATGCTAATTGAAAAAAATTTAATATTATTTTAATCTATGTATTTTTAACTATTTTTTTTTTCAAAATTGTCCCTATATTTTTAAAGCGATCACTTATAAAATTTTAACACAAAATTTTAACATAATATAAACTATTTAATATAAATTGATGGTTACATTTAATAAAATTTATTAGTTATATTAAATTGTTATAATACTAAATTTTAACATAATATAAACTATTTAATATAAATTGATGGTTACATTTTATAAAATTTATTAGTTATATTAAATTGTTATAATACTGTATTCACTATTATTTTTTATTATTTTTTAGATCAAAAATTTAATTTGAGGCACTCAAGGGCTCGAATTATGTACTCACTGCTATTTTTTTATTAGTTTTTTTAGAACAAAAATTTAATTTGAGGCACGCAAAGACTCGAATTATGTACTCACTACTCTATTTTTTTTATCAGTTGGTTATTTGATAATCTATTTTATTATTAGTTCTTTATTTGCCACACTACTTCGGTGATATCTGTTTATATACAAAGGATAACTATAACTCATAATTGAATATGATTGAATATTCAGTTATCTTTGCTACTTTCRTCATTTGCTCAAACTCTTGTATTGTTATTTCTTCATTTTTTCTAATATTGGTTTTTACTTGTTAGGTCAAGTACAAATTTTCAAACTTACAAGCGATAAGAATGTTAAGATATTGATAAATGATTAAATTTACCATAATCCATTAGTTTAAGCATTTGAAATAAGTTAAGTTTCCTGCTAAGAAAATGATGGAAAGAAATGTAATAAAAGTAAAAATAAATAGACTAAAATAGTTACCATTATACTAAGGTTGGTGATTAGTTTACAACTTAATCAATCTCTCCACGCAGAAAAAAAAAAAACTTCTTACCTTTATTAATTCATATTCATCTCTCTTTGTATTTTTCTTATCCTATTTTTATAATTAAATTAATTTATTAAGCGCCAACCTAAACATAATTTATGTAATTGACATCCTATTCCTTCACTTAGAATAGTAATAAATATCTTATCTATTGGGTTATGCTGGAATAGGGCAGGAAAACATGAAATCAACGGAAAAATGCCCACTTTACCCTTGGGATGAAAAGGTTTTGACCGATTCAAGCATAGGTATTTTGGGCATGCCAAGTGTGTCCCACTCCTATAGCTACCTGGCTTGGTTTGATCTCATATGACAAATTAAAAAGAGTCAAAAACCAAAGGCTTTCCTTTTCTTGAGGAAGTTTTTTGGTCATGGGTCATCTCTAAAAATTACTTGACCCAATTGACACTCTTTTCTTTTTTGTTTTTTCATTTGACCATGTTGGTTTTCCAAACTAGATTTGAAAATTATACGTTTTATTTAATTATATTTTATTCAATTTAGATGTTTTTTTAATTAGCGTCTTAAAACTTATTCCAGCATCTTTTAATTTTCACACTTGATCTTATATAATTAAATTATTTTATTTCAAAGTTTGCATAAAAATCTATTGGAACCTTTATTGTTAAATTTTTATGGTATATTTAACAAAAAATATTACATCCATTTATATAACCCTTTTTAAGTAATTACATAAACGATAAAATAATTATAATACGTATTTTTAAATATAGCATCAAATTTAAGATTTTACCTAAATGACATAATTTGATTTTAATTGAAAAAAAAAGCTATCACAT